TACAAAAATTTAAAGAGCTTTCATATTAAACAAACAAGAAACTACATTTGCAAAATACTAAAGTCAATAGCAACAAATCAGAATCCATTGCTGGTTTCACTGATCTCACATGGTAACAATATCAAAGGCAACAACATTTTCATTGTGATTACTGTAGTATGGATTTGTAGTGTTACCATTTTTCCTAATGAGGAGTGCAAGCTTCCACTTCTACAATTTTGTGACATGCACTTCATGGCTCTTTAACCATCTCTCTCTGCTGGCAAAAAGTGCGCACTCTTTTTAAGTATACAGGAAATCTAGGATTTTCATACTGAGAAAAGGGTGAGACTTTGAGGTGCCCTGAGCATGCTGTTAGAAAGGCCAGAAAAATCTAGTAAATTTATTGATTAAAACATTTAAACAGTAAATTAGTCCAGAGGCCCTTTTTATCTATTTTATAACCGGAGGTTCTGGCTAAAGGATAATTTCACCTTTTTAATAAAAGCACATTTTTTTGTAGGTGAAATGTGCTTTTACATTTTTTTTCCTTAGGAGCCTGTAAAACATTGCACTTGTGATAGGCAGATCACAGGTGCAGTGTCAGGCTCCTGCAGACTGATGGTGCAACTGTCTGCCCATGCCTCTTATACGGGCAAGCAGTTACTTCAGTCCAGGAAGCTCAATGGACTACGAAAGCACTCATGAGGGCCCTCGCAGTTCATTGAGAACTATAAACCATTACCTGCAAAGACTGATGGTGCTTGTAGGCATTCATTCCCAGAACTCCTTGAATGAATGACGTGACTGTGTGGGTGGAGCCCCGCAACTGTACACTCTTCAAATTGTGACAGCGGGTGCAGAGGATCCCTGCCCTGATGTCACAGGGATGGGGGGCAATCGGGGGAAGAGCTTCAGGTGTTGGAACATGTTGCACACTAAAACAGGTGAAACATGTAACATGTTCCCAAAGGTGAACTTATCCTTTAACCCCTTCCCGCCGGTGCCTCCTGGCCCTTTAAGAGTTTTAGAAGCCGGGAGGCGGGGCGGGGTTTAGGGATCATGTGACCGCCGTGACGCGTCATCACGGCGGTCACATGATCGGGAAAGGTCCCGATCAAAAGAGCAAACCGGGACCTTTCTGTGAGTACTGAGTAGTGCTGCGCTCTCAGCACATATGTGTTAATTGCGGAGTGCACCGGTCGTCTAGGCCCAGACGCCGGGAGGCCGCACATCTCTGTGCGCCCGGCTATTTACAAGCATACACTTGTATCTAAATTCCAAATTAGGACAATATTAAAGATTACAATTTTCTTTAACAATGTCTGTTTAAAATTTAGAATTACATACAATATATATCATATTCCAATATACAGTGTTGCAGACAGATTTTCACTACCAAATGGCAATGGACAAAATGAATGGAGAATGAATAAATACAAAAAATAAGCAATTTATAAAATAGAAACTGAGCATCATGTACTGTACTTAACATCTAAATACTTTTCACAAAGGGCAGAAAGCACATGAGAAGTGAGCAGAACTGTGTCACATAAAAAATGTATTGCTCTGTTTCTTTCCAACTACACTTTGTGAGGATGCTGGCAATATTCCCAATGCCCTATTTAAAAAAAAAAAAAAAAACCTGTATATTGCCATATCTGCCTCTAAACCAATCAATCAATTAGAAAATATATATGGATGAGTAATGGCTATGTTTTTTTTTACTTTAAACTTTTCAACTAATGTAAAAAATATGCTTACATAGAAACACAGAAGCCATATTCTCTCCATGATGCCTGTTTTTCGTAGCAGTGAAGAAACAAGACATGTAAATGTTGCAAAACTATGCTTGTGTGTCCAGACAATACTGTGTAAGCTTGGCAAGGCTGGATATACGTGATTCTCTACTGTATGTGTTGTGGACACTCATATAACTACTACTACTACTACTACTACTACTAGGTCAGGAGGCACAGCCAAGACTATACCCACCAAGAGGAATTGGGCCCAAGCTGCTGCCTTCTGATATAAGTATATAATCCACAAGGCACCCTAGACAGGAGTTTGGGGCCTGGTTATGTTTAGGGGGCCCAGCTACAGCTTCACACTTCTACTGTAAATCAGGGGGAAAGTGCAATCAGTCAAAGATGTACGCTTGCCTGTCATGTCACAGGGAAAGATGCCCTTAAGAGCAGTTAATGGCTAATGGAGGTGAGCCAAGCTTGTACAGACAAATCAAATGGGATGTGCCTATCCCTATCAATGTCAATCGAAGGAATAGGGGGAAAAGTTGCTACTTTGCCAAGTGCCAGTACCTGGGGCTCACATTATTATTTTTTATTATGCTTTATTATTTTATTCTAGAAGGTTTTTAACACTGACTCTGTAAGCCTGAATAATGTAGCCCCTTATTAAGTTCCCGGCAAATTATGTTTTAAGTTATGGAATTATAAATCCCTGGGAAAACTAGAATTTGTAGTTCCAAATTGGCTGTGTACCATAATCGCTCCTAGCATTCAACATAATTCACAAATTCACCTAAAGCAGCTAAACAAGGACCATGCTGTCAGCAGGAAAGATACAGCCCAGACATCTAGCTTCTACAATACTAAAGTGACAATCTGCAAACTTTTATGTTGTTAAAGAAAACACTTCTCCATTTAAGGGAGTGCAATGCTTAAGATTTACTAGATTCCAGAAAAGATTTAAAAGGCACTGGTGAAAACATAAATCCACTTAAATACAATGTATGCCGTTTTGACCAGTGGTTTGTGTTCTTTTTCAGTCCATTCGTCTATTTGCAAGCATTTGGAAAAAAAAGTAGCATTTAACCCTGTATGTGTGAGCTTCTAAAGTGAGTCAAAGACAATGCAAAAACGGAAATTCTGAATCGATCATTTTTCGCTTCATTAGTGTGCCAGCTGCGACACATGATTTTCGTGCTAAAAGAAAGTGCCTGATCCAACACGATGTACTTTCAGAAATGAAACAATTGGTGGCACAATTGTATGAGCTATTTTTGTTTTTCGCTCCACAGAACTTTTGGATTTTAGCCCTTGAGCAAGAACTACAGCAACTATATTTAAACATGAATATAATACGAAGTTTAAATTAAAACAATAAACTGAATGGTTTTCTTTTGCAGCAGGTAGAGAGAAAACTACTGAAGACGTCATATACAAGTATATGATAGAGATGTTATGCTATCAATAAGTGGAGAAGAAAAAGGAATGCTGTGATAAAAACCTGACTGTGATTAATGTAAAAAGTAGATGTGAGGCGTGCAAATACAGATGGGAGGGAATGCTTCCCAGATCTTTATCACCATCGCAAATTGTGAGCTAATATATGAGATAAGCTGCTTCCTCAAATTTAAAAAGGTGTGCCTGGCTGGACATTACTGTCTCTTCTGCCCTTTCATCATGAATTAAAAATACCTATGTCAGGTTGGTGTTTCCAGAATTTAGGCACTTTTTAAAAAGAACTTAATATACAACTGTATTCAACGCAAATGCATGCAAAGTAAAGTTACTGGTATACAGAAGGCACCACATCTTATATAGTAGAACACTATATCTTGGTATGGAAATATTAGGCATACCTTACCCTGTATACCACAAAATAGCACTATGTGCCTCACTGACCTATCGCCGTCCTCAAGTTTTGCCATATGAGTGTTTATGCAAATACTAACTTTCAAGAAGTCAACACGAACTTCAGGGGATGTCTGCTGGTTTGCATGTACTTATTCTGTTGAGATGTTATGCTTTTGTACTAGGTACAGTATGGTTTGAATGCCATTAAAAATTGTACTGTTGCCTACCATTTGATGCTTCTCAGTAAAGCTCAGGTGGGGTACTATTATAAGCAAGCACTTATACAGTGTCATAATGGAAAGAAAATGTCCATATGAGCCAAACATCTCTGTAAACCCCAGATAAGAATGTTTAACAGCCTCAACCTGGACTGCAGCCAGGCCATGCCTCCAATGCGTTTCACTTTGCCCCCCGGAGCCTGGGGATCACAGTATACAGTGTCATTACATCTTTTCTAGGGACTAATTCATTGTCTACATCAGCCATCACTAACTATACTGAGCTCTAAGGACAGCTTGATAATTATATATGTTTAGCGCACTGTCCTCAAAGTAATATATTATTACAGTTGAAATTCTTGGTGAACTGAACACAAAGCTGTGTATCCTGTTCCCTAATACATTAGTATTAGTACAAGTAGACACCACGTGAGATCCTTGACATTTACAGTTGGAATCATGTCATAGTACCAGCAGCATGTGCGTACACATATGCTTTTACCAGCTAAAAGCATTTCATCTATACATATATTTTTTTATTTCCTTTTATTTTGTGGACACCTCAGTTTAAACTGATGCTTGATCCTTGAAAATAGGATCATATATCCTTAAGCTATTCATGTGTATCAGTGATGCTGCTAGGATGCAATGCTGTAAAGAAGGGCAGGACAAAAAATGTAAACAGAAATCAAGGGATTTAAGACCATATCTTGTAAATAAAAGGATTATTCATAGCAAAATACAGCCTCCATCGCAGGAACAGCCGGTAATGCTGCAACTTTCCCGTTGCATTTTAATGTCTGTGCATATAAGGCTAATGGGATAATCTTCATCAAACAGGTTGTTCCTCTCATTCAGATGTTTAATGTATACACAGACCTCCCTGACTCCCCAGACGTAATATAAAAAGTCACCTTCATCTCATCAAGAGCTAGCTAATCAAAAAGCAGGTAGATGCAAAGCACACACAAAGAATAAGCATAATTATAATCTGTTGTTTTACTTCAGTCCTATCTCCTCTAATTGATTTTGTGTGTCTGTGTAAGCAGCTTAGCGAAAAGGAAAATGCATTTAAAATCCCAAGGGAGTGTCATTAAATGTCATTGTACAAGAATGGTAATCTACCTGAAGGAAATAAATGAAGGGTTCCAAGGCTGTAGCAATGCACTTATTCCGTATTGAGCAAATATAATAAGTAGAACACTTACCCAAGAGTTGTCATGGTAACAATGGTATACCAAAATGAAGCAGGAATGCTAGTGAACTTGCTGGATGATGAACCTTTTTCAGCATAAAACATCACAGTGGCAAAGATAATGATTGCCATTGTCAGTGAGAAAAGGAGAAATCCCAGTTCAGAGGCACAGCTCTTTAGGGTATACCCAAGAATCCGTAAACCCTGGGAGTGACGTGAGAATTTGAAAATCCTGAAGACCCGAAAAACCCGCAGGGTGACAAAGGCGCCACTCACATCCTCATTGTTGGTCATCACCAAGCCTATGTAGTATGGCATGATGGCCACTACATCAATGATACTCATGACACTTCTCATAAACCTGTAGCGACTTGGGGCTGCAAAAAGTCTCAAGAGGTACTCAACTGTGAAAATCATGACACAGGCTGTGTCCAGACAAAAGAAGGCTACATCATATCTTTCACCACAAGGAAGCTCCTTATTTCCAGGCACAGTGCCACAGGGAACAGTCTCCACCACATTGGTGATCACAGACACTGCAATAAAGAAGCCAGTCACATAGTAGAAGACTAAGGCTAAAGTGCTGGTATGGGGGTTTTCAAAGGCTCGCCACATAGTCTGGCGTAAGTTTAGGGAGGGCATGGCTTCTTGGCTATTCTCATATTCATTGTCATCCATTAGCCTCTCTGCATTTTCTCTTTTTCTGTCTTTATATTCTTCATAGCAACAGTCACCTATGATTTCAGGTAAGATCCCATAGAAAGCCAGTTCTTCGTCATAGGCAGAGATGCATTCATACCTAGGGTAGTGGAGCTTGCCAGTCCTGTAAAAATTTAGAATACACCTGAACACTTCAGGATCACGATCAAAGAAATATTCCTTGGTTTCTTCATTGAAGAAGAAGTCCTTCTCTGTGCTTCCAAGTAGGGTATCTGGATATCGTTCCAGAGTAGTTCGCCAAGTCTGGAATCGGCGCCCACTAACATTGAGAATGATTAGCTCATCTTGCCTTTTGTTTTTGTCAGCAGGTGCCAGTGGCATAGGACAGTTAGCCACTGGCATCCACCCGATGGCAGCTGCCCTTGCAAAGGGCAGCCATGCTGCAACCCCGGAAGCCATGAGAGTGTCAGGTCCGGTGGGCCACTCCAGTACCTTAATTACCAACTTGATTTCAGATCACAGCCATCTGCAAAAAAAAAAAAAATCAAGTTAGAAATCACTGATAAGCACTTAGAAAAAAATAAAGCATGGTATTAAAACATGAATTTCTGAATAATTTCAATAATTTATTGTAAAGACAGACAGTAAAGAGCAGGCAAAGCATGAAATAACTATTTAATCTTCAGAATTCACCACCTTTCAATGGGTTCACAAGACTATTGCAGCAACTGAAAAAAATCATCATTGTACTATATAAATGTTTTATGATTAAAGATCCCTAATATATTACACAATAATATAAAATGTAAAAGCTAATGATAAACGAATAGATATTAATGTGAAAATAACAGCAATCTTTACAGTGTTCAATAAGTATAGTTTTGAATACAACAACCCTACATTTTAAACAATTTAAGTTCTACACACTAAATGCAATACATCCAAGACACATACTAAGGAGCCTATTCATAAAAGGTGAGCATAGAACCCTCCATAGTTTTTACATTATTATTCACAGATTTGCATCCATTTTTTGTGTTATGGCATTGCATTACTTTAACTGACGATTTGCGCGGTCATGCAATACTGTACCCAAATGAAATTTACATCCTTTTATTCCCACGAATAGAGCTTTCTTTCAATGGTAATTGATCACCTGTGTGTTTTTTATTTTTTGCGCTATAAAAAAAAGGCCGACAATTATGAGAAAAAAAACAATATTTTCGACTTTTTGCTATTAAACATGTTCAGTAAAAAAAATGTAAAAATCAAATTTCGTCATAAATTTAGGCCAAAATGTATTCTGCTACATGTATTCGTGTAAATTAATTTGTTTACGTGAGAGTTATAGCATTTACAAATGGTGGTATATGTACACTGGGATTTTTTATGTGATGGCTGCAATCAGCGACTTATAGCGGGACTGTGGCAGGCATTCTGACACTGGTGGGAACTGACTTGGTGTCACTGACATCCCCAGTGACAAATATACAGTGATCAGTACTAATAAAAAGCACTGCCACTGTACTAATAACACTGGGCAGGAAGGGATTAACATCTGGAGTAATCAAAGGGTTAACTGTGTGCTGTTTGCTGTTTTACTAGGGGCTGTGTGTTTGTGCTTCACTGTAATCACACTACTTTGCATGGCTGTGCTATGTGCTTTTTCTTTCTGGTTCTTTTTACTTACATGTCAAATGCTAATCGTCACTTGATTGAAAAAAAACTCTGCAAATAATTTATTTGTAAATAGAAATGATAGTTATTTGTATGTGGACAATGGGATTCCAGGAGTGCCCCAAAATCGTGTTCCAAATTCTAACTGCTTAAAAATGTAATTCATTCAGTAGAAACAATTGTGGCAATTGCAATATTTCCTGTATGAATTAATAGACAGCATGAGCCTAGACTGCTGCAATCTTCCAGAATCCCACAGTGCAAATACTATTATGATTTTCTATCAGTATCATTCAATAGTAAATTGGTAGGTGCTAGTGATGGCCAAATCTGTCCATGTGTTCAATTTGGCAAAGGTTTGGTGAGTCTGATTTGAAGTTTGGTGAACTCAAACTTTAAGGCTTATCCCATTAAAGTCAAGATGAGGGGAGCCTTACTGGTAAATTGGAGGGGGGGGGGGTGCTCCTCTAATCAAATGAAATCTAACTAAATAGGTGAAAAAAAATGAGAGAGAGAAAAAAAAATGTGAAAACCACATAATAAATGTGAAACCACAGCATAAACAACGCTGGTGGAGTGTCGTATATAAAACAACATAAAAACAGAGAACACGTCCTCAACTACAGGTGATGGATAAAGTGATGTGCTATGGTTTACAATAGAAAACTAAAACAAATAAATCGAGTTAATGAAAAATATGTGCAAAGATGGAAAAAAAAAAAAAAAAAAAAAATATATATATATATATATATAACTGTTTGGTGAAAATCAGCACTTTTCAAGCTGATCACTCTCACTATCACCTATCAAGTTTACCTGGGAATTTAATGTCAGACTTTACACGCATTAGCAAATCGTGGACTTTTACACCTTTTTTGTGTTTATACACATTGTTGTGTTATTTATAGTGATTTGTTTGTTCATGGGTTCACTCATCATTCATTTCTGACAATCATGTCATCCATATTTATTTATTTTTGAATATTCACAGTCGCACATCACTATTTGTTCTTGTGGACCCATGTCATGATTTTCACCAAATGGTTTTATATATATATTTCTTTTTTCATATTTTAGTATTTTCCATTGACTCGATTTATTTGTTTTAGTTTACATATAGTACAACCATAGCACATCACTTTATCCATCAATTTTAGTTGAGGACGTGTTCTCTGTTTTTATGTTGTTTTATATATGACAGTGCATCTACATTGTTTGTGCTGTTTATGCTGTGGTTTCACATTTATTATTGATTGTGTGGGTATCTACCGTTTTTTCTCGCTCTCATTTTTTTCACCTATTTAGTTAGATTCCATTTGATTAGCGCAACACCACCTCCCTCCATGTACTCTTACTATTTGGTTATATAGTTGGCTGCTAGTCCCTTTTTCTGTTGAGGGTTTCAGTTTAGTTTAGTGTGGTTAGGCTTTTAGTGGCAGTGCGGGAGGTTCTTTCCCATCTTACTGGTAAATTCTTGCCATTTTAGGGGCTACTAGCAAACGTCAATTTTTGACTGTATATTCCTGGATATTTAATAAATATATGTTTTTTTATTTTGGACATTAATGGTGAGTGCTAGAATTTGGACCTTGTGTAACTTCACAAGAATAGGTATAGCTACAGCTTACAACCATTCTTTCTTGCAGATGGAGAGATAAGGAAGGTTTTATTTTGAAATAAACATTATAATGTATTATTTGGTAGACAATAAACACACAAATTGTACAGTGGGATGGCATGTAAGCAGCTTGATTAGGCTGCAATATAAAAGAGGGAGAAGCAGGTTTATCTTGAAATAGAAACGAGAGCATAAAATTTAAGAGCCAATAACCACACTCACTATACAGTGGCTAAACAGTATGTAAACAGCTTCATAAGATCACAATGTAAGAGAGAGATGCAGCAAATTGAGGTATAACACAAGCTTTACCATGCAGCAAACAAAAATTTGAAAGGTCCAGCTGTGGAAACATTGTATGGTGGGTAAAGTGCTTGAGCAGCAGAATAGGCCAGCAGAGATGGCAGGAGCTGATAACTGTAGAAGGTATAATTTTGGGGGGGGATTCCAAATGACAAAAAGTTTAATATTCAGCATCAGAAGCAGAAACTTTTTAGTCATTGGTAATCCAAGACTGGTTCGTTTTAATGAAAGTGAAGCGGTCCACACAGTCAGGGAATAGGTGAATTTGCCTCTTTATAGCAAAGCCTCCTGGTCCACTGAAGGTCCTCTCAGAAAACACACTGTCTGCAAAGCAATCCAGAAGTGTCAGTGCAGATCTTGCAAGCTCCAACCAGTGGTGCAGCCCAGACATCAAGTAATCTATATAGCTCTCACTTCTGAGAGAGTGTCCTCATTTGCTCTAGACCTGATGTAGTCAGCAGTCCTGTGGTTCAGGTGCTGCCTGTGAGTGCTGCTGGCAGCCATAGCTTAAAAATACTCTTAAAAGTGATGCTGAAGCAGCAGCCACCACCATTGCTGCACCTTTCAGGGATCAGAGGATTGGGGTTAGGTTGGTTATAAGCGGGGATCCTCATACCACCAGGAAATGCAGTAAAGAGCTTATTAAAGTAGCACCTCCTGAAAGTGACACATTTTGGGCTCCCTCTGGGATGGTGGAAGTAGACAAGTCATTTTTTCTTTGTATCAGGAATCTAATAGGGAGGCCACTCAATAGTGATCCTTCTCTAACCAGAATCCTAGGGTCGGTGTGCAGGTATCTAAGCAGAAGAGACCAGATTTGCCACAAATTGCCTGCAGCAGATGACCCCTGAGTCCTCAGTGTCACTGAGGACAACACTGTTATTAAAAATCTCACCCCATTCATATACAACTCTGGGATGTGGGGTTTAGAAGAGATTTGTGGAGTAATGTTTTAACATAATTATCCTGTCTGTACCATATTTGCAGTTTTTTATTATCAGCTGTAAACTAGATTTGAACAATATCTGTCTTAGCAAAGGTTTAAAAATGTAAAAATTGCCCTCCTGCATTGTATGTTAATGAGGGTTAACTAGAATCAGTATGGGGAGAGAGCCACTGTGGGTCTCTTTAAATATTCTTAGAATCAATCATGATACCTTGTCCATAGAAACATCTACATTTTTTTTATTTTTAAAAGGTATGCTGTGTGAATGGGAATGCATAAAAACATGTGTGGGGGTTCTCAAATTTAACTGCAAAAGTGGAAATACAGTTTAACATGACATAGGGTCAGGTCCTGGGCCTGTAGGACCGCTGGCAGATCTGGCCAAGTGTGGCTTCTGTCTCCCAGACATTTGAGCTGCAAAACAATATGGCCCTGTTTAGCTTGGGACATTGCACATGCATAGGGGTGCTTGGGGAGGAGTCGAACGATGAGGTCAAAAAGGAGGAAAGTGTGCAGGTGAGTGTGCTGTCACCTTCAGACAAGACACGTGTTGGCTCCAACAGTTTAGAAGTGTGCCCTGTCCTGCACCCTTAACCCTCAGCTACTTGCTCCATTTGCATGGCCACTAGAAAAGGCAGATGTGCCCTACCACTAGTTGGTGCAGTTCGATCCTTTTATCCTATAGAATCTCCTTGTTCTCTACTATCTCTGCATGCAGAACCCCTGTCTCTAACATTAGACTTGCTTGATCTCCAGTAGCTGCAGTACACTGTAAATACAGTATGACTTTTTTTTAAAGATGAATAGTGAATAGTGGGTGAAATAGTGAATGCTGGTAGTTTTGTGGTCTTATGAATAAAGTTCTTATGAATATTACAAAGTAAAAAGACACAACTAAAATAACTGTATTGTATA